GGGAGGGCCTTTCCGACCTGGGACCCGGGAGAGAGGTCGGGCCTCAGGGAGGCAGCCTTTCTGAGAGGAGAGCCCTGTGCACAAGGGCTATGGGTGACTCTCCTGACTCACCGTGAGGAGGGTGGTGAGCACTCACGCCTGTCTCTCACCTCGTGTGCACGTGTCACTTGAGGTTGAACAACCCTGTGCACACGGGCACACGTGTTCAGAGTGCACAGGTGCCCAGGTGGGATGGACGTCTGTTCTGTGTGTGCATGTGTGTGTGTGCATGTGAGTGTGCACCAGCAGCAAGTCTGCATACGCAGCTGGCCACACAGGGACCTGCACCTGCACAGGTGTGAGAGTTTAACGACACGTGCACTCAGCCGTGCACTCAGCCAAGGTTCCACGTGAGAACCTCCGAGAGACGGAGCAGGGGCCCCCATTCCCCTCCAGGCTGCCCCAGCCTCTCTCGTCAGCACACCCTCCCCGGGCCCGGGCAGCACAGGCTGGGTACTGACCAGGGACTGCACGATGGCGTGGTTGGTGGCGTTCATGCAGGAGTCCAGCGGGAAGGAGCACTCCCCCTCACAGTAATAGGCTGAGTAGCCTTGGGGGGCGATGACCCAATCCTGGGTGGGGAATGGAGAAGGTGAGTGCCACCATGTGGCCCCTCCCACTAGCACCTGTCACAGGAGGATTCAGGGCTGCCCCTCACCCTCTCTCCCTCAGCCTCAGGGACCTGTCACTCACCCTCGGCCCCTCCTGAGCAGGCCCCCGCCCCCAAGCCTGGCGTCCACCCCAAGACCCTTAGCAGACAAGACTGGGAACAAGCCCTGTGGTCCTCGGGGTGGTCCTCCCGCTGCCCCACCCCCACACCTCCCGCAGCTGCTGTCACTGCAAAGGCTCAGAGGCACGGCCACCCCGGCCTCGGGCTCCCTTTGTAGTGCTGACATTTTATGGCTCAGGATGCAGACTGTCTCCATTTTCACAGTTTTTACCACAAACCCCCTTTTCACCATAAAAGTTACACATTCTCCTTTTAGAAAACTTGGAAAACTCAGAAAAAAATAATATGAGGAAAAAAAAATCCCCCAAGTCTACCCCCTCCTGGGGAGACACCTGACCTTTGGGGGGTCGTCATGTAGGAGAGAAGGGAGAGGAGACATTACCAGCCAGCCGAGGTCCTGGAAGCTGACATAGAGCTCGTGCCGACGGCACACCTGCCGACCGTGGGAGCCGTGGGCGCCATCTGCGGGGACAGAGGTGCGAGGTCTTTCCTGGGCCCTGCTCTGTGCCGTGGCCATGGGGGCTCCCAGGGCGGGGGACGCCCCCACGGGCACGTTTGTGGGATAAGTGAACGATGGAAAACCAAGCCATTGGGTCCCTCAGAGCCCATCCCTGCTGCTCTGTGCCGTGGCCACGGGGGCTCCCAGGGCGGGGGATGCCCTCACGGGCACATTTGTGGGATAAGTGAATGATGGAAAACCAAGCCATTGGGTCCCAGAGCCCATCCCTGTTGCTCTGCTGGTGTCGGACCAGCTCAAGAGCCTTCGATGGCTCCCAGTGGCTCCAGAGGAAGCCACACTCCACCCAGCCTCCCGCTCAGCCTGTGGGCCTCCTGATGCTCCATAAACAGCCCAGGGGACCTTTCTGCCACCAGGTGGTGGCAGCTCCTCCTTCCCTCCTGAGACACCTCCTGCCCTCACCCCACCCGTCCTGCCACACCCCTGCACAGGTCACGAGGCTCATGTTGAGGCCAAACAAGGGGGTGAGGCCCATCCCCCCCCCTGATTCTGAGGGTCTCGCCTGGTGGGGAGACCTTTTCCTAAACAATTGTGCATCCCGAAGGTGCCTGAGGGAGAGCCGCGGGCACAGGGCGGTGCTGCCCGGAGGAAGGGCACCTGATTCTGACGGAGGCATCAGGGCCTGAGGAGCCGGGGGAGGCCTGAGAGATAGTGCATGGCCGGTCCACAGGGGGCGCGGGGCAAGGGGGGGCGTCAGGAGGGTGTCAGGAGGGTGACCACTGGCTTGACCCCTTGTGAGGGCCAGAAGGTTCTGCCACCACCACTGGTCCTCGGCCTACAGCCTCGGGCCCCGGCCGCCCGGGCCTCACCAAAGATCCCCGGGAGCTTGTTGGGCTGCGGCAGCTCGTTGGTCTTCTTCAGCAGCCGCCTCCTCAGGGGCCTCACTGCCCGAGGGGCCCGGATGGGGCTGGGGCTGGGGCTCGCCCTGAAAAACGTGACCATGAAGGGCTGTTTGGAGCGCGGTGCCCGTCGCCCCAGCAGACCGGCCAGGCCAGGATCCACGCTGTGCCCTGAGACAGAGAGGAGAGAGGCGGTCAGTGAGGGCGGCGGCTCTGCACGTGGGCACAGCAGCAGCTCTGCCAGGGCCTGGGCGGGCCCAGGAGCCTGAAGGCTGAGGACCTGAGGCGGCCACCGTGCCTGCTTCCCTCATCTGAAGACCGGAGTCAAGTCCAGCCCCAGCCCCGGGCAGCGGGTCTGAAGGAGACCGTGGGAGGAGGGCCTCGCGAACCCAGGGCCAGCATTGGTGATGTCACAGAGCCACACGGCCGCCCCCACCTCGGTCTGGGGACTCCTCGGCCTGAGTCTCCCTTCCCGCATCCTCCTGGGATGTTCCTGTGGGACGGATGACACCCAGCTGATTGGCGCAGCTCCAGGGCGTGGCGGAGCTCACCTGCCCGAGAGCAGGCCTCACTGTTCCCTACGCCACAGACAGACACAGGCTCAGTGGGCGGACACACTGGACCACAGCCCCAGAGCCCGGGTTCACCCAGGTCGGTCTCATTCCAGAGCCCGAGTTCCTATCCACAGGCCCGGTTAGTGGCTAAAAAAGAAAGGAGGGCTGTGGGCAGGGCATGACTGGGGCTCCGCCCTCGGAATAGCGAGGTCTGTAAACATGAATTTACCCACAGCCTTAAAGACTGAGGCCGCTGTGGAAACGCTCACTCGCCTGCAATGTCCACTCCCCCAAGGCACCTCCTCCTGGCCTCTTCCTATTCCCACGTGACCTCGAGATGCTTTCACTGTCGCAGCAATGCAACAACTGTAGGGAGACCTTAGAGAAAAAATGTCCCTCATCCACCACAATTCACTGAGAGATTAGCTTATCGCTAGACGTTTAGGTTGCTTCCTGGCTTTCATCATAAAGAAGAGGATGAGATAGAACCTCTTCATTTTGTTTTCCTGTGGAATGTTAGCAGGAGCGTGATTACAAACTCGTTTTTGTTTCTCAAACACAGTGACCACCATTCCACTTCCGAGTGCATTCCCCTCAGTGTTGCAACACGGACACACACACACATGCACACCCATGTCTGCACATAAACACACAGGCATGCATCACCATGTACAGTGTGCAGACGCACACATACGTAGGCATATATACGTGTGCCATGAGCAGGTCTGACATGACCCCCATTAGACACCACAGGCCAAGGACATTGCCTGCCCCACCCACACGCCTGCTCAAAGGTCAGCTCTTAAACAGCTGGGCTTTAGTCCTGTGTCCATGGGCCTCGGTGAATTGACACCTAATGAATCCTCAGACCAACCTTTGACCTATGACATCACCTGCCACAAAACAATGCCCTGGGCCCATCAGAGGCTCCACGCGGACTGAACCTGCTAGGACAGGAGGTTGAAGCTGCAGGCGCTGTTGCTGGAAGGAGCCCAGACAGAAGCCATTTGGGAGAGTTTGGGTCATGGTGAGCCGCAGTCAGGAGGACGCAGGGGAACCACGAGGACACAGGCCACAAGACCCATGGAAGCTCTGCGAGCAGAGGGGACAGGCCAGTGAGGCCAGGACAAGGCGGCCACAGAGCCATGAGCAGATGGGCGCCTGTCATCAGGTGGCACTGAATGGAGCTCCACGGCCTGGCTGATGCAGGGGGACACCTTGGGCCCAGCAGCCCCCAGCCTGTGTGTGCCGCTGCCCTGTCCCTGTTCTCTGGACAGCTCTGCCCACTGGGGCCCGAAGGACATGCCTGGGGGCTATGCTCACTGTGTGTTTTTCTTTATGCAACTGTCTGTTCGAGGATCTTCTTGGGGTGTCCTGGGTGCAGAGAGAAGGACATAGCAGATCAACTAGCAGCACCACTGAGGCAGCACGTCACCGAGGCAGCCTGTGGGGAGCCTGACTGAGATCCTGAAGCAGCTGATCCTAGGTTCCATTTCACAGAAGCAGAAACCAAGGCCGAGTGAGCAGCACCTGTTCAAGGCCCCAAGCAAGCTGCAACCAGCCAGGACAGTCCCACCCACCCCCAGCACACCCTGCAGAGGCAGGTCTGGGGGCAGGGGGCCGGACTAGGGGACTGACCCGTCTTTCGGACGGCCTAACCTGGGAGGCCTGGGCATGGACCCCCCGGCCCTCCTTCCAGAGCCCAGAGCTCCCTCCCATCATCGTGAGCAGGGCCCCCTGCCTTCTCCTGGTGTCTTCTTGGGGGGCCCCTCGGCTGCCGGCACTGACAGGCCCCTTTCCAGAAAGGCGGAGATGGGAGCTTAGGAGCCTCTGGGGCCCAGGTACCGCCTCTAGACCTGACCTGTGAGGCGCTGGCAGGCATGCCGTCCCCTTTGCAGTAGATGGGGTATGCGAGGCCGTGCCTGGAGCTGTGGGCCACGCAGGATGGAAGACGCTGCTCCTGAGCCGGGTGGGCCCCATGGGACCTCTAGCCTCACCCATTTCCGAGTCGCCCCCATCAGAGCCCAGATGCCTTGGCAGCTGCCCTGCCCGATCCTGTCCTAATCCATGCGCCTCCCCAGCTGTGCCAGGCCAAGCCTCTCCCCAGGCGTCCTTCTGCCCTGGGTGCCCCTGCAGCCCCTGCTCCACCGCAGCCTGAACTCATGGATGTGACCCTGGTGCCACTTTGAAGGTCACTCGGGTGCCTGGTCGAAACCCTGGAGGGCATCCCGGCTGTGGACCTGGTCTGCTTTTGTCCCTTAGGCGCCTTCATCGCGTGAGGATGGGAAGCTCAGTCCTTTTCCTCCGTTCTACTGCGTAACAGCCCTGTAACGTGTCGGCCCCTGGGAGCCTCTGCCTGTCCCACACTCCGCTGGGACGTTCCAGCTCCCAGGGCACATCTGCCCAGGAGCCCCCAAAGGTGTCTACTCCATCCCACCCACCCCCATCTGGTCATGCCCCTGGCCTCTTCCCCCCACACCCCCAGGCTGTGCCCTCGGTGAGCACTGCCTCCCACCTCTCCATCCCAGGACCTGTCCCTTCCTGGGGATGAGGCCCCTGCAAGGCCTCCCTGAAAGGCCTTCCTTGACCAGCTGGAACTTCCTGCTCTTACCCAGGGTCTCGTGTTGGTTGTGCGCCCCCTAGAGCCATGCTTAGGAAGTGCAAGCTCCAAGTGTGTGTGTGTGGGGGGGTTAACACCCCCCCTCAGCCCACCCCTGCCCCAAACACACACGTACGAACTCACTTTTTTCTAAGTCTTTGAGACTAAGGATTCAGGATGAAATACCTCAAGCCCCTCTTGGATGACAAGAGAATATTAACAAGAGGCCGGGTCAGGCTCCACGATGGAGAGGGAGGACAGAGTCAGTTCAGGTGGACACAGGAGCACTGAGTCACGGTGAGAAAACCCGTCTGTCCATCGGTTAGGTTTCTAGAACTCCTCCCAGCGTAAGCCACAGCCCTTGGCAACACACAGGGGGACTATGTATGGAGGAAACCCTGGTGGCACCAACAGCCTCTCCCCTGCAGTCCTCCCACGACCAGGTCACGTCCCACCGCGTGGTCCTCCTTTCCTTCTGGGGACATGCACTGAGCCACATGGAGGAGGTGTGTGGGGAAGAGGAGGTGAGGCTACAGGAAACAAAATCCAGCCACAAAATGAAAGGCCGCAGCAGAAAAGTCAGAAGGGCCAAAGGAGAAAAGCTTTCATTTAGGCAGCATGTCTTCCCACCATGACCTGACATTTATGGGTTTTTTTGTTTTAAATTTATTATTATTATTATCCTCACCTGAGGATGTGTTTTTATTGCCATATGCGGCTCTTTGGCCCCTTGAGTGTGGCTCTTCCACAAAATACCGACTTCTGCACATGGGCCACGAAGTTTCAATCGCACTGTACGTGGTATTTTGTGGAAGAGCCACACTCAAGGGGCCAAAGAGCCGCATATGGCTCGCGAGCCGCAGTTTGCCGACCACTGCCCTAGCCGGTTTATAAATTGCATTATTATTACTGTTATTATTTTATTTAAATTTCTTTCTCAAAAATACATTCCTAAATATACAAACTATACAATGTTGTCATTTTAATGCTGTGTGTGTTTTTTTTGGTATTTTCTTCTTTTTTTTTAAAATAATAGAACCCAAACTAAAAAAAATCTTCATCTTCAAACCAGAGGAGCGCTAGAGGACGTGGGACGCAGAACCTTCATATAACACCACATAAATAACGCGGCCAGTCTCTGCTCACGGCAGGGTCCCCGGACCAGAGGAAATACTTTTCTGGAGCTCAGACGTCGTCTGCGGAGAGGGTGGGGATGTTCATCCGCGGCCGCGTGAAAAAGGCCATCTTCTCCCTGAAAGACTGCACTTCTGGGGGCTCCTGGCAGCTCTGGCCTCTGAGCCTGTGCACACCCTTGGCGGCCGCCCTCATCATCTTGTCTGCAGCTCACCTTTGTGCCCGCGCGCTCCATCTGCTTCTCCAGCATCCTCAGCAGCAGGCGGAGCTCTGAGCCTGTGCACACCCTTGGCGGCCGCCCTCATCTTGTCTGCAGCTCACCTTTGTGCCCGCGCGGTCCATCTGCTTCTCCAGCATCCTCAGCAGCAGGCGGAAGCGCTCGTCCTCCCGCAACCCCGGGGGCAGCTCCTCCTCCCCGTGGCTCCTGGCTTGTTCTCCCTCGGCACCGAGATCTCCTGCGTCGGCTGGCTGTGCCAGGTCCGGGTGGCCTGCAGGTCCAGCGAGGTGCGCATCAGGCGCTCGTGGCGCAGGGATTTGAAAGATGAAGGCCGCTTCATGCGGACGCTGCGCCATTCCAGAGTTTCGAACAAAAGGCGGCTTCTTGGACAGCGTGGAGCTGTCGCTGTCACTCCGATTCAGCCGGCACACGGATTGGCACTGGGGTCCCGGGGAGAAGGTCTCGGGGCGGATGATGGTGCTTCCTCGGAGAAATGGCGCTGGGGACGGCGTGCCCACCCGCCGGTCCTTGGGCCGCACCCTGTGGGCGACGGGGCAGGGGCCTCTGTGTTGGTCTCTTTGTCCACCTTTACCGCCGGGCACTCTTCCGTATCTGGTGAGGATTTCTCAGCAAAAACCTCCTCCTCTCCCTCCTCCGCTGCAGTCTC